AAAAAAAAAAAAAAAGGTCAACATTTAACAATATATATATATATATATCTCAATTCAAAGCTGAGCTCTCTGTTTACTCAGCTGTGTGGCTGAGAATTCAAAAAATGCTTCATGTGTTTTCTTGATTTTTCCACGCTCACTCTCAGGGTTATGACAGGAGGTGGAAGCATAAACAGGAGGCTTTATTAAAGGAATAATCAGTCAGGCAGAACCATAATGCTCTCGACCCACGCTGTATTTTAGCCATTCAAACATTTTGAAGCTGCCTGAAGGCGATAATGATCCGTCAATTTTATCTTTATTAAGAAATGACATGCCAGACTGTGGGTGCTAAAAGCTTTTCAAACAAACAGTTTTCATGGTAGAATCAGCCGATTCTTCAGTCAGACCAGAGACCAGCAGCCGTACTTCTGCTGACTGCTGCGAACGCAAATTACTACAGACAGTCGGTCTGTTCAGACCCAGAGGTGTTTGCATGATCTGATAATCTTTATATACATTCTTAGCTTGTATAACACCAAGTCAGTAGTACTAAACCAACTGTTAATGAATACAAGATAACCTATAATTATTAGGGCTGGGTGATGTGGTTAAAAAAATTCAGTCTCTGATATTTTCCAACCAAATCGGATTCATTTTTGGTCTCCTCTAAGTTTAATTATTAAAAAAAGACAAAATAATCTTCTTTACTTTAAAAGAATAGCTTTATAACAATAATTTAATGACTTTAAATGATTTTTAATGAGCCGCGGAAACCGTGCTTTTGGTGAAACAATCATGTTTAAGGTTTCTAATGTGATAAATGTAGTTTTATTACCCAGCTCTATGTTAGGGTTATAGAAACCAAAACAGTTCTGACCAGAATCAAATGGATTCTTTAGGTTGAGATAACTGAGTTTTTTTTAGCAAAATCCCCAAAATCTAACCTCTTCCTGAACAGTGAATGCACCACAGATGTTTGATTTCAGTGCTTAACCATCTCTGCTTTATAAATAACCCAACTTGTCCAATTAAGAAGATTATATAAGAAAATAGGTCATGCTGTCATTTAAACTTTGACTTTCAGGATATTAAATCATCATCAATGCAAAAAATTATGATTTTAATGGGCCAATGTTCACATTTAAACAGTTTTAGCGGTGGGGCGTATTGGTGGTAAACATTGCAGGCTGCTGAGGAGTCCGTCCAGGTCTGTAAAGCCTTGGCTGGTGATTTCATTCAGTTTTGTACAGTTTTTTATGTCAGGTACCTGAGCAGCAGATTTTAAAAACTGTTCCAGTATCCTCTTATGTTGTAACTCTTACATTACAGGGGGGTTGATGTTAAGGATTTTTACTACGGATTTTACCAAGGATTTTCTTTGGGCAAGTGACTTTCACATTTCATTTGCCCAGAAACAATAATTACTTGCCCAGTATAATGTTTGATAAATATAGTTCCTAATATTCATTTTTGTATATAAATCAATGAAACATGTTTGTTTTTTTAAATGTTTTTTTGTAATCCAGTAAGTTTCCAGGTTCCTGGTGTGTATCTGCATGCGTCAGATAATGAACTCAAGCCTACATTACCGTGTTAACATGCTTTTCAACCCTTCCTGCACATTCTTTTCAAACTAAACTTTGCTTTAAACTGTTGTGTGCTTGGAAAAA